TTTAGAAAAAATTTTTCTTAAAAAATTTATTTGCAATAATCTGAGGTATCTATCTTTTTGCACCGGACCATATATGAAAACATAAAAAAGAATACTAAAAAAGAAATAAGATGCATCTTTCTATTATCCCATTGTATTTCTACCAGCTCTCATTGAAATGTTCTCGGAATCATCACATTCTCCATCTGTATATGCATTAATTCATTCCCTGATTCTAATTCTCTTCTTTCCATTTCCAAACACACATTTCCTTTTTCTTTTTCTTCTTTTTTATTGTCAGAACTATCGAGTGGATGAGACTCAATGAAGTTAATCAAATCCAAATACAAGTTATTTTCATCTGTTAAGATGATGTTGTATCCGTTTGATTTGGCTACCTTTGCTCTATCCTTTGCAGGATTGGTAATTTTATCTTTGGATCGGGCTACTAAGATACCAATAGTAAGTTTTTTATTGGTACCTGTATCAGTCCCTTCCAATCTCTGTACATGTTCAAATATCACCTCTTTACCCCTATAACATAAATAAGATTTTAATTTCTAGAGTACAATTGAGACAATAGATATAGTAAGTAATAGATAGTTACCTTACACTGTATTATTATATAATACCCTCTCCACCACCCGCTTCAATCGATTCCTCCGTCACCCGGCTCATGTCTATAGATATATTAATATAGGTATGAGTAAATGTATCATAATAGTCAAGATCAGAGTCGAACGTTCACAGCAGGCCGTCCACCGTATGCCAGGGCTGGGTACCTGACTGGCGACTTTCGCAAGCTGTGGCCACGAAGCGCTTTCGTTTCACTGTGTATCCTATTCACCACAGACCCGGGGCAACTCCCTGGCAGCTTTTCGGCAACGAAAAAGAACTTTACAACTATTCAATCATCGTATATCAAGGAACCATAAAGTACTTTTTACATGTATCCTATTCACCACAGACCCGGGGCAACTCCCTGACAGCTTTTCGGCAACGAAGCTTCGATTCATTCACACCCTATGCATTTTCGAAAACTTCGATTTACACCTAGTGGCAGTGTACCTTCAGATACATATACTAAATAGTTACCCCTGAAATGACAACTTTCAAGCTGCAATTTTCGATTCCGATATTTTACACCTAGTGGCAGCGTAACTTCGGATACAATCAACTACTCAACAAAAACTCAGTGAAATACTCACTCGTAACGACGGAGCTCAACACCTTCCCCTCTTAAAAGATTTTTAGTAGTATTTTCAAACTCTCTTCCCTGTCTGACGTAACTCGACATCTGATTTTGTTTAATATATTAAAAGTTATCAATAATATTTTTAAATAAAGGATAAAGCAATAGAACATTATGTGTAGAGGTTACCTTGAATGTTAAATGATTTCTATGAATCGATAAGAGAAATAGAACAGTGAAGAGAAAAAAACCAAGAGAAAAGTTAGATAGATTCATTTCGGATGACTGTGGGTTATTATTATGAAGTTGACAATGGGGATTAATTAAAACAAATAAGGTATCTACTCATCTTTTCATGTACCGTTTTGTTCATTAATTCTCACGAATGTGGCTTTGATATATATATCAAGTCTAATATCATGTTTCGCTTCAAGACTTCTCTAAACTTTTCGCTCATGTCGTAAATCAACTTCAGTTTCAATAACGCGCGTTCCAAGACATGATTAATCTGGTAAGTTGTACATGTAGTTTGTACTTTGAACGTTAGCGATAAAGTTTGACAAACGTCGTCGAAAATGTAGATGATAGATTGATAAAGAAGTTACACAATTCATGTCGATCATTCAAATTCACATGATTGCGTAATCAGACAAGCCACAAAATAATTTTCTTATTATTATATATAACACGTACAGGTAAATGTGAACGTGATAGTTGGTTCTGGGGGTGATAGTGTTTGGTTTTTTGATGGAGGAATTGGACTATTAGCAATCAGACAACGATTAGAAACTGTCCTTTTATTGTTACTAACCTGAGGAACATCTGCTAAAACTGGCGGTAGCCAATAATCAAAAACTTACTTAATAAATAGGCGGAGGAAGATATTGTTGGGCTGAGAAAACGTCGTGAAACTTGTTTTTTTTGTCAGTCGAGTCTATCTGGACAAAATCACTGATAAATTTTGTGGTATCAAAACTGTTTGGTTCTGACGCAAAAACATGACTCACAACGCCGCTATCACTCATTCTAAACCCACCACCATTATTACTCTGTCTTGCTGAGGACTATAAATATAATCTGGGTACTAAAAAGAATTATGTAGCAATTATTTATAGTAACATTTTATGAACATTTACAAGCAGTTCACAATTGAGTTTCTTCCCGTTTGAGACAAGGCTGCGCCATCTGAATTGTTCAAGGTACCGATGTACAGGGGGTACCAAAAAGTTTGTGAATTTTTTTTCCGTTACACTAAAGTTAGGCTGAAACACATTCTTCAATCG